ACACATCAAGAAGTACATCCATCCCTGTGGTGCTACAGCTAATTTAAGGCTTTGCTCAGCCTAACCTCTTTTTTTTTCCACTCAGACCATCCATCCCTCCCTTTGGCGCTACAGCCCATGTAGGGCTTTCACCTGCCTTACCACCTCCTTCCACTCTATCCATCCCTCCCTGTGGCGCTACAGCCCGAGTACAGCTTTGGTCTGCCTCACCACCTTCTTCCGCTCAGACCTAACTGATGCTCCTCTTTTCCATGCCTAGATTCCCAGCTGCTGTAGATCTTTTTTCCACATCATCCCTCCATCTAGGCGCGTCCTTTTTTTATTTCAGCTCTTACCATGGTCTCGTAAATGATATAGTCTCATAAATGATATAGTCTCATAAATGATATAGTCTCATAAATCCCTTGCTGTTTCGTATTCTCCATTCATATTCATCCAGAAATCACAAGCTGATCTGTATACACTTCATTGAACGCTACATTAGCTTAACTTTCCCATCAGAAATCATGGTTACACATCTACTATTCAAGTTTGTACCTATTTAAAATTAGAGATTCCATTTTTTTAAAACTATGTTTATTCAACGGGGACAAGACGGTCGAGTCGTGGGAGGAGCACACAATAACCACACTCATTGAATTCTCAATTGGAAAAACCAGACCTGGCGATTCTGCTCTGATGAATTTAAAATGAGTTGACGATAAGAGCATTGTTCTGTGACTCCGGAAACATTTCTTCATCTTGTGTTTTGATCGCTTGTTCTGTTAATCAGTTTCATGTTGTGAACACATCAAGGGGCTCTTTAGTAGTTTATCCCCAAAAAATCTGAAAAGAGATATAACAAATTATTGCAAAAATGAACAAATCTTGAACCTAAAGTCCCATTTATTATCACAACTCTAACTTTAAAAAAAAACTTGTTTTACAACTCTAGCCCCGGCCAAAGAAATTCCGACTTGATCACACACACGCAGTATCTTTGTCATCGGATACCCCTTCCCCATTTCCCCTTTTGAAGTAGGTCGATTATATGTTAATGAGTACCGTTTCTACTCCGCAGCTTTAGCTATAACACCCAGTTTTCATGACTAAAACACTTGCAATGACACTTTGTTGCCCGACTTGATGAAATTACATCACGTGCTCTGTGTTCCTTCCTGTGGCCCTGTAAACGAAGAAGAAGAAAAAAAAAGTCTCGCTTCATTTGTTGTTCGGCTGACGGAGTGTGGCCCCGCGATCAGCTCCGTTAAGCTCCTTCTAATGAGTCGCAGCGTCTTCCAACCTTTCGGCCGTCAGCGATCACTATGATTAACTACCGGTGTAATGTAATGTCTAGGGCCAACCTAAACCTACAGCACCCCACAGCGATAAGCGATAAAACCTTATATTAGCCACCACAGACTGACGTGAAATTGGCTTGCTGGGGAAAAAAAACATAATAATAAAATAATAAACTGGAAGGCCTCGCGGTAGGGGTTGGCGTGGGAGGTGGTAAGTACTCTCTCGTACTGAAGGTGATACAGGACGAGAGTAATGAAAGTGAGACTAGCAATAGCTCGTCCGTCTCAGTCATCAATCTCACGGACAAACATTTAGTGGGCGGACGGCTGTTAAGTCGTAGTAGTGCAAGATTTTGAGGGGGAACTTCGCAAATGTCTCTGAATGGGTATTTCACTGCAAAAGGGCTCCTAAACTCCATATGGGTGGCATACTAAAGGCCCCTACACTCCATATGTGAGGCATACTAATGGTCCATTCAAATCATATGCAGGTCCTACTTTTTATCTGCTGGGTCTTTCGACCAGTGCTCAAAGAAAATTTCCATTAAAAGGTAACTTTAAAAGAAATTAACTTTCTCTACACCAGGCCTGCACAACACACGCCCCGCGAGACACATGCAGCCCCCCCCCCTCCCCAGCACCAACTTTGCGGCCCGCGATGTATCGAAATATTCTTTTTTTATAATTATTTACTAATTCCCCCCCCCCCTGTCATGTTTCTTTCAGCCCGCACAAGTTTTTCATAAACTATAAGGGATCATCTAATAGTCGTGCAGGCCTGCTCTACAAGCAATTAAAATTACTTTCCAGATAAGGCCTTCTGGGAATTATAAAGTAAAATTTGGTGCACATGCCTTTTTAAAAACAAATTCTACATGTATGACTGTCTTTTTGACCGACTGTGTGGCTGTCAAACTATCTTTGTCTGTCTGTCCATAAATCAAAAAATATTTCAATTATTTGAATTGAGTGATCTTTATACTTAGATAAAGTGATAGATGAAAGAGAGTTCTTATATCAGACAGTGTGTATATGTCTGCCTTTCTGTAAGTATGTCTGTTGGTAGATTCTAGGTATATCTGTAGGTATGCCCATCTATTTCAGTATGTTCACATATCTGTTGTTGTTTTTTTTCAAATCTCTAAGGCAAACACCCAAGCTGCGCGTCTTTCATTCTCTTCTTTCCGCCTATCTCGACGTGTACCCTGACGTGCGTATTTAACTCAAAACATGTTACCTTCGCTCTGAGCCAACCCATGAGGAATACGCAACCAAAGAAAACATCCGAGATTACTGGGTAAAGTAGTTTGTTTTTGTTTCGAGGGTAATTGTATGAACTAAGCTGCTGAAAAGTTCAGGGAAGTCCTCTGGTCTCGAGTGATAAAGGGCAACTGTAATGTTTGGTACTCCGATTTTGATTTTCAAAGACATTTTTTCTTACATTGCGGCAGAGAAAAAGCTGTGGCGTAGTTAGTGTAAATGCTGCCCTGGACAGGCCGAGATATTTTGGCACCAATCCCACAAAGAAAATAAACAAACCAACTCTGCAGATGGTTGAAAATGACACTACTCATTATAGGGCAAAATGTGCTGCTCTGACCACAACCCATCCTACGCCATACAACGCTCTTGTATTAAATGCTATTTACTGAACACGTCAACGTTTTATATTGTTAAACAAGCAGAAGCATTAGGAACTTAATTAGTATGAGACTTTCCACATATGAACCATTCCACACATGTGCCTGTCCACACATTAGCCTTTCACACATGAGCCTTTCCACACTTGAGCCTTTCCACACATTCGCCTTCCACACATGAGCCTTTCCACACATGAGCCTTTCCACACATGAGCCTTCCACTCATGAACCTTTCACACATGAGCCTTCCAAACATGACGTTACACATGAGCCTTTCCACACATGAGCCTGTCCACACATGAGCCTGTCCATACATGAGTCTTTCCACATGTGAGCCTTCCCCACAATCAATTAAAATAAACTAGAAACAAAATAAAACCCTGGTGTTTCACGTTGATAAAAAGACTGCATTGGTACGCGAAACGTATTCTGGAAGAAAAATTATAAATATACTTTTTTGTTCAAAATAAAATCGTGTTCATAAAAGACATACTTCATGCAGCAAATATGAAGGAGAAAAATGAACCCTTGAGGGCGGCTTGTAAAAAAAAAATTCTCGGCGCCCAAGGTCACGTTTGGCAAAAAAAAAAGATGATTATTTTCATCGGAAGGAAAGATTATTCTCGGACAAGGCTCTCTGAGAGTTCAGAACATCGTCTGAAAATCTTATGGCTGGCCTGGTATTCACATTAATAGTGAATATTTACAAACTGGTGGTCAGTTGAAAACGGGGGGGTCACTTGAATAGCGTTGTAAACTGAGACGCGGTGAATCTGGTGTTAAATAATAACAAAAATATATATAAAAAATTGGGTAAATAACAGTCTGAGGGACATTGCAATAATCGTGTTTCAGTTGGTTATGAGTTAGTTATGAGAAAAGTTGGCTCAGGCAGGCATTACTATTGAGAGAATGGAAAACGCAGTGTACCGTATCGTATGATGAATTATTATTTTAAGTTTTTTTTTTTTTTTACGTATACTGAGAGGTTGGGGATCTTAATTAATCTCATGTCGTATTGTCGTTAGCTCCCATTACAACTTAATCTTCGGAAGCTTTCAGAAACTTGGTTGTACTGTTGGTCATATCGTATGATGAATTATTATTTTAAGTTTTTTTTTTTTTTTACGTATACTGAGAGGTTGGGGATCTTAAGTAATCTCATGTCGTATTGTCGTTAGCTCCCATTACAACTTAATATTCGGAAGCTTTCAGACACTTGGTTGTACTGTTGGTCAGTGATCAGTGAGGGATGTGTCGGTGATGAGTTAGTAGTGGTCGTTCTTATAATCTGTTTTATGTGCCAGTCGGAGAACATTCTAGCATCAGCGGATTAAACCAATGAGATACAACCAAATGAGATGGACTCCTAGTTCATGCGACCCCTAGTTCATCTGACTCCAAGTTCACATGACGCAAGAAAACTTTTCTTTATTTGGTCCCAAATGGCCTAAATATGACTCCTAGTTCATGTGACGCCTAGACCACGTGACTCCGTGTTCCTGTGACGTAAGAACACATGCTTCTTGTATGGCGGTATTTAAACAATCTTTTTCATTAAATTTATTTTTTTTCTTAAATTATTTAACATTCATTGCATTGTACTTCAAAGCCCCGTCCCTTCTCAAATGTGGACATTCGCTGTGTCTTGGTCTGCCGGCCATGTACGCTGGGGGCCAAGATTTTTGCCACCCCCTCCAAAACTCTGCAATTATTCGCAAATGCCGCCCTTCAATATAAAGTTTAAAAAATTTCACCAGGGACGGAAAGCCCCCTTAACACCCCTTCCCCACCTTTTTTTTACGCCGCTGAATGTTCCCCGCGGAATTTGATTGCTTCCATAACGTGCAACATAATTATGAATGAATCCTGCATTTGCTTGATGAAAGGTGATCCCATTGTTTTGTCACACAAGAATCCTCTTCACTCCTAACACATACAAAGATCATGTCACGTCTTATACAAAACACTAATCTTATTTCTGAACATCTCTTTCAGTAATGTTGAGAATGCGCATGGGGGGAAATCTCAACCCTCTAACCGCGTGTAATACAAATCTCGTTCATTCTCGTTCTTTCCAGTTATGTTAACACTGGCAGACCCGAACGAATACCGTCTGGTGCGAGACTTGATGAAGGGCTACGACAAGAGGATAAGACCCTCACTCAACCACACGGACGCCCTTAACGTGACCTTTGGCCTGGCACTTGTGCAAATCATCGACGTGGTGAGTGTCGTGATGCTGTATCCGTTTTACGTCAATCTGTATTCTGTTTAACTCTGTCCCAAACGTTAGGATTTTCTTGTGTTCTTTTTTTTTTTAATGTTTTATTATGTATATATTTTTGATATTTATGTTTTTGTCTGTTTATTTTTAACTCCTTCTCTTGGTCTCTTTTTCCCAGTCTTGTTGTCTGCCAATTGTTTACATGCAAATCGAGTTTTTTTTTAAAGACTCGATTTGTTCTTCTCTTAAAACTTATTGTCTTAAAACGAATTTTCCCCAACGTATCTCTTTTAATAAAAGATAAATAGGGCTATTAATGTTTCCTTAACAAAATGTCTAGGTAAGCCACCGCCGCACTGGCATTAATTCATTATCCCGTTTTTAGTTTAAAGATGGTAGATATAAAGATAGATCTAGTCGTCAAAGGATACAAAGGGAATTAAGCATGTCATGTTACGTCATAGTTTTCGTCACAAACTTCATCCTTTCCTTTACTATAAAACCAACGCAATCTCTGTTGAACTGATCCCTTGCATAATCACTTTGCCAAAACTCGGGGGATGAACTTCCGAATTTTAATCAATGGTAATATTTCCTGTATCACTCAGATACTGTGTCGATAATGAAACTCTGTGTCTTTCAGCAAATGAATACTTTGTGATACCTTTTTATTTACCACATTTTTAAATTCATTCAAAATAAGAGGAGATTTAACTGGGAAAAATACAACCCAAGTTGTTCGTTTTGTAAAACAGGCCTGTCACTTGCCGAGATTCAAACCATTTCAAAGTAATGAGTGATAAAGTGAAGAACTTTATTTAGGCCATTCCTGTGTCCAGAATGTTACCCTCGTATAGTGTGAAATATAGATTGAAGATTCGAATTTATGTTTTATACATCCTACAACGAATAGAGTTGAATAAAGTTGCGCAAGAAATCGATGAAGATTTGGGAGGGGGGGTATAAAATAATATAGGATATAAGGAAGGGGTGCACGGGGGAAGGATGGGGGCCGTAATTTCATATCTACTCAGGGCAAACAGATAAAAGCCCTCTCCAAATAGTGATGGGATAGCTTCTCCCGTCATGCCTAGTGCAGGCCAACTGAAGCAGGGAAAATCTAGCCAACCTTGCTAAATTTAAATCTTGTAGTTTATCACTACTTTAGACACTTGTAATCTTTTTGTTCATCACTACTTTAGACACTTGTAATCTTTTTGTTCATCACTACTTTAGACACTTGTAATTTTTTTGTTCATCGCTACTTTAGACACTTGTAATCTTTTTGTTTATCACTACTTTAGACACTTGTAATCTTTTTGTTCATCACTACTTTAGACACTTGTAATCTTTTTGTTCATCACTACTTTAGACACTTGTAATTTTTTTGTTCATCACTACTTTAGACACTTGTAATCTTTTTGTTCATCACTACTTTAGACACTTGTAATCTTTTTTTTCATCGCTACTTTAGACACTTGTAATCTTTTTGTTCATCACTACTTTAGACACTTGTAATTTTTTGTTCATCGCTACTTTAGACACTTGTAATCTTTTTTTTCATCACTACTTTAGACACTTGTAATCTTTTTGTTCATCACTACTTTAGACACTTGTAATCTTTTTTTTCATCGCTACTTTAGACACTTGTAATCTTTTTGTTCATCACTACTTTAGACACTTGTAATTTTTTGTTCATCGCTACTTTAGACACTTGTAATCTTTTTTTTCATCACTACTTTAGACACTTGTAATCTTTTTGTTCATCACTACTTTAGACACTTGTAATCTTTTTTTTCATCGCTACTTTAGACACTTGTAATCTTTTTGTTCATCACTACTTTAGACACTTGTAATCTTTTTGTTCATCGCTACTTTAGACACTTGTAATCTTTTTGTTCATCACTACTTTAGACACTTGTAATCTTTTTGTTCATCGCTACTTTAGACACTTGTAATCTTTTTGTTCATCACTACTTTAGACACTTGTAATCTTTTTGTTCATCACTACTTTAGACACTTGTAATCTTTTTGTTCATCGCTACTTTAGACACTTGTAATCTTTTTGTTCATTCTCTAGGGACTTATTCTCTTGTGTAATTCATCGCTACTTTAGAGACTTATTCTCTTGTAATTCATCGCTCCTTTAAAGATTTTTTTCTCCTGTAGTTGATCACTAATTTAGAGACGCTAATAATTATATAGCTTTGTATTGATCAAAATTGTAATGAATATTGGTTGAAACTATATAGTGTAAATACAAATATGAATTCTCAGCAATTACGCGGAAAATATCCCAAACAGATCAAATTTATAGCATACCATCTTTTACTAAATAATAAAATTATGCGGGGCAGTCTTCCTTAGACAGGAATAGTATACACACGTCATACGCAGCAATGAAATATAAATATGCAATTACTTAAATGAATCATATTTTTTTTAAAAATAATAATATGCATTGCTGTCGCTGAGTATAATATTTTTTTTCTCTAAAAAGTGGTATTCGAAAATTTACAACACTTTCAAAAGAAATGGAAACTTATTCTTCAGTGCAGCGGTAACGTTTGATTTCAACTGGTTTTGAAATTAAGTAAATGTTCCGCTTAAAAAAAAAAGCTGTTGGTTGGCTCTTGTTCCCCGTACCACGCCCAAGATCTACGTCCCTGTTTCAACATCCCTACATTCAAACAAGTCTACTACAACATCAAGAGACGTGACTAGGGTCGTGGAACTAAGGTGTTTGTTCAGGTCTGTTACTCAACCAGGTTTATGTTTCCTCTGTCCGTGACCTCCGGGCACCGAGAGTGCTGATTGCTATTCACAATTCCATCTACTCTTATGCGTATGTCAAGACAACACACATAATCATCGCTGAGAAATGCATTGTTACTGGGGGCCATGTATTCATGAGAATGAAGATCAAAGGCGCTTAATGTGGGAAGAAGACATGTTTTCGTTCCGTATTGGTATTATTTTTTCATAAGCGATATTTTAATCTTCAGAAGTCGCGAAAGGGAAGCCATTTTATTGGGTTTTAAGAATGTCATTTGTAGTGATGAAGTGTTAGACCATACGATGTAGTGATGAAGTGTTAGACCATACGATGTAGTGATGAAGTGTTAGACCATACGATGTAGTGATGAAGTGTTAGACCATACGATGTAGTGATGAAGTGTTAGACCATACGATGTAGTGATAAAGTGTTAGACCATACGATGTAGTGATAAAGTGTTAGACCATACGATGTAGTGATAAAGTGTTAGACCATACGATGTAGTGATAAAGTGTTAGACCATACGATGTATTCCTCATTAGTGAGCTTTTTTTTCTATAATAAATGAGAATAGAAACATTAGTGGGTTTTTTTTGTTAGTACAACACCGCTTCACCAAACTTTCTTTACAAACTTTATTTTGTCTTATTCCTGGTCCTTCACTTACCGTTCTAACAAATCGTGTTTTTGTCCCCAAACAGTGTTGAACTGAGTTGAACGCATGTCTCTTATTTAGAGATGATCTATCACTTCTTTGGTAACTTTGTTCAACAAAGGAAAGTTTCTTTTATTTCACCATTGTATGTTGGCTTTATTTAACAGTTGTATGTTGGCTTTATTTAAGAAATGGTATGTTTGCTTCATTTAACCATTGTATGTTGTCTTAATTTAACCAGTGTATATTTTTTTAAATTTAATTATGGTTTATTTATGGTTTGGTTTATTTCAGGACGAAAAGAATCAGATCTTGACAACAAACGGTTGGTTAAATCAGGTGAGATCATCATTTGTATCACTAGTGTTTCACGTATGTCCCGCTATTTTAACACCCACTTGTCATGTATCATTAGTGCCTTCATTTATTTCCCGCTATTATAACGCCCACATGTCATGCATTAGTAATGATATCAACATTTAATATTTAACAAAAATGTCAAAGCAATCACGTCATCTCCCTAACAATAGAGGGAAAATAAGTTTAAACAAGTGGCTTAACCGGGAGTAGTTGTTTTTTTTACAAATGATCCGGGTATCTCGAGGTAGGACTTTCGTTTTAAGGCCGGTAGGTAGTGTGTAGGACTGTCTGTGGTCCTATTGAGTCCTACACCCAACCTGCCGGCCTGCAAACTATAAGCCTACATGCCGTCATATATCCTACCTGCCAGCCTTTAAAAAATAGGGCTACAGACAGTCCTACACCATATATGTGACTTTTAAAAAATTAAAATAACAGACGCCTTCCCCTAAAGAAATATATCTAACTTTTGACCTGAGTTCAACCGCCACGCACGACACGCTCTGCGTGACAGCTTTTTTTCAAATATGTTGTGCAACGGGGAGGGGGGTGAAAAGGAAGCAGGACACACCAGAAGCAAAGTAATATATAAGAAATGACACTCCTTTATTTATGCTGAGACGAAACCCCAATGGGCCGTCATCTCTAAAACTTAACCGTCTGTCGTGAGATTCATTTTCTTGAAGTCAAAAACTGTCCACTTGCAATTGCTTTTTGCTATTGAGTTTCTGGAGACTTGTGAATCAGTGACTAGCGTTTATAGTGCATTAGTGAATAGAATCCATTACTGTGTTACTAAAAGGAAACCATTTAATTTGTGTAACAGGGTGTATCATTAAAAAGAGACCATTGGAGTACTAGAGAATAGAGTTTATGGGTGAAAATAAGAAAATCTTGTGTATAATCAGTTAATAAAAAACAAAACTAACCAGATAGTGTTAATAGAAGGTCCAAAGGCTCAATACCCCAGATAGTGTGGGTGGAAGGGCCAACTACCACAAAAAGTGTAAGAACTACATACCTCAGATAGTGTGAGTAGAAGGGCCAAGAACTATATACCTCAGATAGTGTGAGTAGAAGGTTCAAGAACTAACTATCCCAGATAGTATGAGTAGAAGTTTCAAGCACTATCTACCCAGATATTGTGAGTAGAAGGTTCAAGAACTAACTATCCCAGATAGTGTGAGTAGAATGTTCAAGCACTATCTACCCAGATATTGTGAGTAGAAGGTTCAAGAACTAACTATCCCAGATAGTATGAGTAGATGGGGCCAAGAACTATATACCTCAGATAGTGTGAGTAGAAGGTTCAAGAACTAACTATCCCAGATAGTATGAGTAGAAGTTTCAAGCACTATCTACCCAGATATTGTGAGTAGAAGGTTCAAGAACTAACTATCCCAGATAGTGTGAGTAGAAGGTTCAAGCACTATCTACCCAGATATTGTGAGTAGAAGGTTCAAGAACTAACTATCCCAGATAGTATGAGTAGATGGGGCCAAGAACTATATACCTCAGATAGTGTGAGTAGAAGGGCCAAGAACTATATACCTCAGATAGTGTGAGTAGAAGGGCCAAGGACTAACTACCCAATATATTGTGAGTAGAAGGGCCAAGAACTAACTACCCCAGATAGTGTCAGTAGAAGGGCCAAGGACTAGGCGACTCGCAGATATTTGCGAAGATCACAGAATTCCTTCACCGCGTATCTCGTCACGGAGTGGAGTGTTTGTGTCAATATTTTGGTAATCTGACGGCCGCGCGACTAGATCAACGATGCCGTGTTTTGCTGTTTGAAGTGTGTTGTTAGTGTCTGAACAAGTACATGAGACAGCAGGATCTAGAACATCACTGAACCGTCGTGGAACGTTTGAATGTTTTGTCTTGGCTGCATAGAAAGATCGAAACAATCATCTCCTCAATGTTACTGTAAATAACGTGTCCCGCTATAGATGATCGTTTCAAAACCACTCGCATATGAGGACCATTTCATATTTGTATATCCAACGGGGCGAAACGGTAACTACACTTTCGGAACCTGAAGATTTCTAAAAAATAACAAAAAATCATATGTTAAATGTAATTTTATTATATGTTCATCTGATACAATACTCACCTTTATACGGTTACCAAAGAAATGGATAATTACATTTTCATTTGTTATTCCCGTCTAAGCTACTTTGGAAAGAAAAATAGGAAATCCAATCCTTGGTTCGTAAGGTCAATGTCATGGGAACTATTCCTTTGGCTTTTCCTAGGGTACCCGGATGGTTTGCCACCAGGGCGTAACATCCTGGGGGAGCTACCTGGAGGTCCCTCACCTCTGTAAAAAAACGGGAGGGTCCCACAATATGGAGCTCCCGGGGAGTCATGTGAGTTTAGGCTCGGGTCGTCGACGTCATTCCAACTGTAACATTTTCAGTAAAGAGACAGTTACGGAGTTAGTTATAGAGTAGGGAATAGAGTTCGTTATAGAGTTAGTTATAAAGTTAGTTATAGAGTTAGTTATAGATTTAGTTACAGAGTTAGTTATCGAGTGTTAGTTATAGACTCAGTTATAAAGTTAGTTATAGAATTAGTTATAGAGTTAGTTATAGAGTTAGTTATCGAGTGTAAGTTATAGAGTTAGTTATAAAGTTAGTTATAGAGTTAGTTATCGAGTGTTAGTTATAGAGTTAGTTATAAAGTTAGTTATAGAGTTAGTTATCGAGTGTTAGTTATAGAGTTAGTTATAAAGTTATTATAGAGTTAGTTATCAAGTGTTAGTTATAGAGTTAGTTATTAAGTTATTTATAGAGTTAGTTATCAAGTGTTAGTTATAGAGTTAGTTATAAAGTTAGTTATAGAGTTAGTTATCGAGTGTTAGTTATAGAGTTAGTTATAAAGTTATTTATAGAGTTAGTTATCAAGTGTTAGTTATAGAGTTAGTTATAGAGTTAGTAACAGAGTTAGTTATCGAGTGTTAGTTATAGAGTTAGTTATAAAGTTAGTTATAGAGTTAGTTATCGAGTGTTAGTTATAGAGTTAGTTATAGAGTTAGTTACAGAGTTAGTTATCGAGTGATAGTTATAGAGTTAGTTATAAAGTTAGTTATAGATTAAGTAATCGAGTTAGTTATAGAGTTAGTTATAGAGTTACTTACAGAGTTAGTAATCGAGTTAGTTATAGAGTTAGTTACAGAGTTAGTTATCGAGTGTTGGTTATAGAGTTAGTTATAAAGTTAGTTATAGAGTTAGTAATCGAGTTAGTTATAGAGTTAGTTATAGAGTTAGTTACAGAGTTAGTAATCGAGTTAGTTATAGAGTTAGTTACAGAGTTAGTTATCGAGTGTTAGTTATAGAGTTAGTTATAAAGTTAGCTACAGAGTTAGTTATCGAGTGTTAGTTATAGAGTTAGTTATCGAGTTAGTTATAGAGTTAGTTATCGAGTTAGTTATAGAGTTAGTTATAGAGTTAGTTACAGAGTTAGTTATCGAGTGTTAGTTATATAGTTAGTTATCGAGTTAGTTATAGAGTTAGTTATCGAGTTAGTTATAGAGTTAGTTACAGAGTTAGTTATAGAGTTAGTTATAGAGTTAGTTACAGAGTTAGTTATCGAGTGTTAGTTATAGTGTTGGTAATATAGTTAGTTATAGAGTCAGTTATAAAGTTAGTTATAGAGTTAGTTATAGAGTTAGTTCTAGAGTTAGTTCTAGAGTTAGTTACACAGTTAGTTATCGAGTTAGTTATAGAGTTACTTACCGAGGTTGTAATAGAGTTAGTTATAGAGTTAAATAAAAAGTTAGTTACAGAGTAGGTTATCGAGCTAGTTATATAGTTAGTTACAGAGTTAGTTATAGAGTTAGTTATAGAGTTGATAATAGAGTTAATTATTTATTTAGTTACAGAGTTAGTTATAGAATTGTTAATAGAGTTAATTATAGATTAAGTTACAGATTTAGTTATAGAGTTAGTAATAGATTTAGTTCAAGATTGCGTTAATTATAAAGCTAGTTAAATATTTAGTTATGGAGTTATAGAGACATATATATAATTAGTCATAGAGTTAGTAAAAAACTTAGTTATAGATTTAGTTAAAAAGTTAGTTATAGAAGTTGTTAAAGAGTTAGTTATAGAGTTTGTTATAAAGTTAGTTATAGAGACAGAGATAGCAACAGCAAGCGTTCAAAAATAAAACATGGAATGAGTAGGTATACAGTTAACCATATTTTATTTTTTAATAAGAAATCGGATATAGGCAAAATATTTCCACTTTAAATGGCATTGCTCGAGTTTTTAAATACGTTATATCAACTTCGCTTTTTGTGTGCGTGATTCTTTCTGGCCTGGTGTGTGGAAAAATCTTTGGACGGCTTATTGACCTTCTTCCCGTCAACCTATCGAACTGATGAAACTTGTCACATAGACTCATTGCCTATGATTGATCAAATTTCCGTTGCTAACTTTTCCATCGACGAAATTTCTTTCCAACAAATTTCCGGTAACCCTACTGGGTGGCCTACACTTTCACTCTAAAAATGTGTCTCAATGGGAAGGGGGAGAAAATATGATGTCACTGATTTCACGACATAAATTCCCGATAACTGCGCTTCATGAGATTCATAAATTTGCGCCTGCGTTTGGTGTGTAATATTTTTTTAATTTTTTTTTCTGAAAGTGTTGGTGAAATAAATCTGCCTTGTAAAAGCGGTTGGGACATTAGAGTAATTATATAAAAATAAAATAACAAACAATGCATATAAAGGATGCACACGAAAGACTTTGTTGTGATGAGTTGTTTAATACAGCTTGAAATCAGCACCGACTTTTCTAAAGTGAATAAATAAATGACAACTCGGTTAGAGCGTTGTCAGTCTTTCATTGCCGATCGTTGTGTCAACAGGATCAATCTAACACACTGTTAGGACGAAAGCTTTCCCCCATGGACATTCATATAAACTCTGAAAGAAAGGAATACTTATTTGGACATTCATATAAAGTCTGAAAGAAAGGAATACGTATTTGGACTTTCATATAAACTCTGAAAGAAAGGAATACGTATTTGGACATTCATATAAAGTCTGAAAGAAAGGAATACGTATTTGGACTTTCATATAAACTCTGAAAGAAAGGAATACTTATTTGGACATTCATATAAACTCTGAAAGAAAGGAATACTTATTTGGACATTCATATAAACTCTGAAAGAAAGGAATACGTATTTGGACATTCATATAATGTCTGAAAGAAAGGAATACGTATTTGGACTTTCATATAAACTCTGAAAGAAAGGAATACTTATTTGGACATTCATATAAACTCTGAAAGAAAGGAATACTTATTTGGACATTCATATATACTCTGAAAGAAAGGAATACTTATTTGGGCATTCATATATACTCTGAAAGAAAGGAATACTTATTTGGGCATTCATATATACTCTGAAAGAAAGGAATACTTATTTGGACATTCATATATCCTCTGAAAGAAAGGAATACTTATTTGGACATTCATATAAACTCTGAAAGAAAGGAATGCTTATTTGGACATTCATATAAACTCTGAAAGAAAGGAATACTTATTATTTTCTTTCCTCACTAAATAAAAAAAAAATTATATTGAAATGTAGGGGGTTATGAAAATGTAGGCCACTACCCAAAGGAGTTTCTGTTTTAATTAAGACATTTAAATTTTGAACACTTAAAAAAAGAAACGTATGATTAATTATTTCAAACGCCCACTAACACATGACCGGAAAACTGGCTCTTTCGATTTGATGCAATGGACCAAAAGAAATGTATGGTGTTTTTATGACATGAATGAGACACTAATCACCTTTTAAACACTCAGTAACCTCAACGTTGTACTAAGTGGATTCTTTAAAGCTCGTACCTGACAATCCTGACGATGTATGTCTACTAATCAACAACTTCTCAACGATGTATGTCTACTAATCAACAACTTCTCAACGATGTATGTCTACTAATCAACAACTTCTCAACAATGTATGTCTACTAATCAACAACTTCTCAACGATGTATGTCTACTAATCAACAACTTCTCAACAATGTATGTCTACTAATCAACAACTTCTCAACGATGTATGTCTACTAATCAACAACTTCTCAACAATGTATGCCTACTAATCAACAACTTCTCAACGATGTATGTCTACTAATCAACAACTTCTCAACAATGTATGTCTACTAATCAACAACTTCTCAACGATGTATGTCTACTAATCAACAACTTCTCAACGATGTATGTCTACTAATCAACAACTTCTCAACGATGTATGTCTACTAATCAACAACTTCTCAACATGTATGTCTACTAATCAACAACTTCTCAACGATGTATGTCTACTAATCAACAACTTCTCAACGATGTATGTCTACTAATCAACAACTTCTCAACGATGTATGTCTACTAATCAACAACTTCTCAACAAGGAAGGCGTTGCGTGATGAAGATTTGCCTACATTAGAAAACTTGCGGAGTGTGAAAGGAGTTAATTTCAAAATGAAATGATGCATGGCAAGCGGAAATGCTGGAAGACGAGAGGATGGATGGACAACGAGAGGAGGGAAAAGACAACGATTGGGGGAGTGGACAAGGAGAGGAGGTAAAGACAACGAGATGAGGAGTGGACAAGGAGAGGAGGGAAAGACAACGAGAGGAGGGAAAGACAACGAGGGGAGGGAAAGACACTGAGAGGGTGGAAAGGAAATTTTTTTATAAAAAAAATGCTATTCCTGCTTGGCGCGGGAAGAACCTGATTGCCCATAGAAAATATCGATTCTGGAATTACTTGAAAGAGAATGGATTAAATACGGCTAGACCGATGGAAAGAAATATCTCAACGTGGAAATATAAGCCAAGCCACCAATGAGAATTCCGGTGCTCAAACTTATTTATTCGAAGGGTGGCTGGTGAAATGAAGTGTCAACTTTCTTAAATTAATGCTAAATTTTAGGACGAGCTTTAAGCACACCAAAAAAAAAATTACATTTTTAGATGATCGCTTTTTCTTTTTTGGTCCTTTCCTCCAATTTTCTTTTTCAAGTTTGGTCTAGATTGACATCTTAGAAGGACATTTCAGCCCCGGAAAAACGCAGGCGGCCTTGAACTCTATAATAAATGATTAAAAAGTGTAACAGAATAAATGTTTCATGAACTTTATATTCTAATTTGTGTGTTCATTTTGTCACATTTTTTAAAAATTTCTTATTGTGCGTAGATATATTTGTAAAACTGGACAGACGAATGCAATGCTTTAATTTCCGCCGCGATGATTTACTGCAGAAGTTTGATGATTGATATCTTCCAAGTTTCTTGTGTGCCATTAATTCACCCGACGTTACTGACTCTAAAAACGCGACCATTGTTTTTCTCCCAGAAACAAAACACAAAGACTGGGAAGAGAATAGACCCGAGTATGATGGGTGACAGTTTTCGGACATTCGATTACGATTGAACTAATGTTTAAGGAATTTAGAAGTGTTTTAGTCCTGTTGTTGTTTCTATAACTCTTTCTATTATTGCTTTCATCTACACTACCTTATTCTTGCCTAAAATTAGATTTATGGCAGGACAAGTTTATATGTACTGACCACATCGAGCTCAGACTGTGACCACGCCGAGAGACGAGACCACGCCGAGAGACGAGACCTGACCACGCCGAGAGACGAGACCGATACAAACTGACTTAACGATTCAAATGTAAATGTGATTTTAATTGGTCCTCTTACTTGTGTTTCTTTTGCGCCGCAGATTTGGACAGATTACAACCTGCGCTGGGACCCAGCTAAGTACGGAGGGATAAAGGTCCTGAGGTTGCCATTCGATGAGATCTGGAAACCAGATATATTGTTACACAACAAGTAAGTAACCTTGGTGTTGTTACAATAGTGGAAAATCGTCAAGAATTAAAAAAAAAAAAATATTTGTTCTTTTTCTTGCTTGTGTGATGACCTGATGTAAATGTGTAACCTTTGAAACTTTTTAGACTCCACCGAACACATCATTTCTTATGATTTGTAGTTGTATAGATACAAACTTCTTTTTCGAACAATATTTTAAAACATACATTTTGAGCTATCACTCAACAGTTGACAAATACAATTATGCAGGAAATGTTTCTTTATAATGAATATTCTTTAATTACTGAAATATATGATGAATCCATGCATCGTGATTTATTGTTTTCTTTTAGCCACTAACTTCTTGCCATATAATATCCTAGTGAAGCATAAAATAGAATATAATGAGTGGGTGGACAACCAGTGTACAAGAATTATGAATGTTCTTATTTTTTTAAATTCTTGGATGATTTAAAAAAAATGTTTTCTGAAAACATTGAACGCGCTGATGCATATCCCTCTAGTAACTCTCCTGAATGACATATGGCATCAGTGATTGCATTAGAGTACTATGACATGTGATGTCTCTGGCGGCGTTAGAATGCAATGACATGTGACATCACTAATGGTGTTAGAGTATAATGACATGTGACATCACTGATGGCATTAGAGTACAATGGCATGTGACATCACTGATGGCAATAAAGTACAATGCCATGTGACATAACTGATGGCATTAAAGTACAATGGCATGTGACATCACTGATGACATTTGTGTACAATGACATGTGACATCACCGATGGCATTAGAGCACAATCACTAACTCACTTTACCCAAACCCTTATTGCCGGAATCACGTGACAACTGGAAAAGTGCCCGCAATTCTCCATGTTTCAGACCAGTAATGACCAATGTTACGCGATCAACGCCAGCATGATTGACATTTGACGGAAATACAAGTTCCATTCTATTGGGTCCCAATCAAGCTGTTGGGGAATTCGTTTTAGGTTCTATACAGCTCACGTTATTTTGGACATTGCAATAAACTCATATCATTGGTACTCGATATTTTAAATACTACTCCAAGCTGGTCATCTCTGGAACTGCACTTCGCTGGTTTACTTCTTATCTGACTGACAGGACAGCGTATTGTAGTGAATCAAGCATCTTCCATGGACACTTCCTTACCTGCCACTGGGCTCAGTTTTGGGACCTATTCTGTTCTCCATGTACACTAACTAGCTTGACAGAAATATTGAAAGTCATGGTACATGCTGCTAATTTTTTTACGGATGAGACAGATCTGTAAAATTGTTTCCGCCCTGATCCTTTGGACTGTGCTTTTGCTGTTCAGGCTGTCGAGGACTGCTGTCCTGTGGTGAAATCATAGATGGCATCAAACAGACTTAAATTAAATGATGATTAGACCAAGGCAATTAATTATGGTTCTGAAACCAATCTTCGGAAGGTTGCTATCACATCAAATAAAAGTTGGTGCTTCTGAGATCCCTTTGTCCAACAGGGCTAGATACCTTGGCTTCTACATTGACAGTAAACTTGCAAGGATACCTCATATCTGTTTTGTGGCCAGGGCTTGTTTCTGTCATCCACGCGCCCTGGGTCAGCTGCGTCCTCAAACTTAATAAAAGAACAGCCAATGCCGTAGCAGTCACTCTAATAAAAGTAGTCAATCAATCAATCAATCAACCAATCAATTCAAACATGGCGTTTTAGATTCTTAAAAAAGATAATTGGCAAGTTCAGAAACCGGTAGAGAAATATTTCAGAGACGTTTCCTAATTTGAGATTTATGCAATCTTTCCAACACTGTTAAATTATGGCATGGTTTAGAGAAGGGTGACAGGGATGAAACCATCGATGAATCTTGATAGTTTCTTTTACTTTAAAGAAATGATCGTGTGGGTAAAGCTAGAAAACTATTTAAAGAAATGATCTGGTGGGTAAAGCTAGAAAACTATTTAAAGAAATGATCTGGTGGGTAAAGCTAGAAAACTATTTAAAGAAATGATCTGGTGGGTAAAGCTAGAAAACTATTTAAAGAAATGATCTGGTGGGTAAAGCTAGAAAACTATTTAAAGAAATGATCTGGTGGGTAAAGCTAGAAAACTATTTAAACAATTATTCAGGAAGCCTCTAAGCCGAAACGTTATTATCTTTTCCCCTGTGTTTTGATTCAATCTTCCACACACCTTGTTCTAGTATTTTTAAACAAACAACAGCTTTCAACAAAAACATTAAAGATAAATCATTCAGTCGTAATTCATAGATCGCTTTGTATTTGATTGCGCTTTAAGTTGCAAATTTATTTCAAAACCCTCTTCCAAACACTTAAGATTCAAATAGATCTAAATGCTTTCCCACTTCGAGAAACCCCTCGAAAAAAAAAAATCGTCCCCAAATTTAAACTGACCAACTTGTTTTGGGTGGGGTTTTTTCCCATTTATTTTCGTGGTTGCTTGGAGTTAAGTTTCCTGTCCATTGTGATCATTAAGAGTACTCGGCACTTTAAGGAAGGTCTCCTTCAGTGGAGCCATCGATTAATAAGATTAGCTTCACGGCCAATAGGGGCTGACATGGACTGGGGAGGAAGATGTTTCAGCTACAACCAAAGTGAGCCGACTCGGGTTAGAGTGTGGACCACACTTTACCCCCGTTGTTGCTCTGCAATGAAGATTTGTAAAGGATTTATCCCGAGAGCCCTAAAACCCCATTAGGGTGGTGTTATTATAGGAACAGGTCTTATGGGCTCGCAGATTATGTCTGTATCTGTAAACTAAAGGTCAGTGACTCTTTTGATGAGACCATTTAGTTTAGGTCAAGCCTCAACTTCATGTGTTCTTACAGAAATGTTGGACATGTATCCGATTTATTGAAATTATTTTTTTCCCTAATTATTGATGTTGATGTCAAGAAAGGTGGGGAAAATTCGATGAATTCAATAGTAAACGTTAGCAATGAAAAAAAAAGTTTTAAGTTCAAAGAAATTCTTTCATTCCAAGGTAAAGCTACCGATGTAAGACCGGGTCAGAAATGTGATAATTATATTGGTATGTAAGACCGGGTCAGAAATGTGATAATTATATTGGTATGTAAGACCGGGTCAGAAATGTGATAATTGTATTGGTATGTAAGACCGGGTCAGAAATGTGATAATTATATTGGTATGTAAGACCGGGTCAGAAATGTGATAATTATATTGGTATGTAAGACCGGGTCAGAAATGTGATAACTATATTGGTATGTAAGACCGGGTCAGAAATGTGATAATTATATTGGTATGTAAGACCGGGTCAGAAATGTGATAATTATATTGGTATGTAAGACCGGGTCAGAAATGTGATAATTATATTGGTATGTAAGACCGGGTCAGAAATGTGATAATTATATTGGTATGTAAGACCGGGTCAGAAATGTGATAATTATATTGGTATGTAAGACCGGGTCAGAAATGTGATAATTATATTGGTATGTAAGAGATAGGCAGCAATGAGTTACGTATATTGGTATGTGAGACATAGACTGCAATGTGATAAGTATACTGGTATGTAATACAAAGGTATCAATGTGATAAGTTTACTGGTAAGTAAGACAAGGGCTGCAATGTGATAATTATATTGATATGTAAGACATGGACAGCAATGTTATAAGTATACTGGTATATACGATATGGGCAGCGATTTAATAAGTATACTGGTATGTAAGACAAGGGCAGCGATGTGATAAGTATACTGGTATGTAAGACAAGGGCAGCGATGTAATAAGTATACTGGTATGTAAGGCACGGGCAGCAATGTGGTAAGTATACTGGTATGTAAGACATGGGCAGCGATGTAGTAAGCATACTGGTATGTAAGACATGGGCAGCGATGTAATAAGTATATTGGTATGTAAGGCACGGGCAGCAATGTGATAAGTATACTGATATGTAAGGCATGGGCAGCGATGTGGAAAGTATACTGATATGTAAGACATGGGCAGCGATGTGGTAAGTGCACTGGGAAATGTCCTGCACTGAACTCCAAACACATGAGGAATGAACATCGTGCTGTAGATCAAAGACCTTGACGAGACCTTCGCTCCTTTGATCTTTAAATCACCAGAGAGTTAAGATAGTTTTATGGTGCAGCCCTAACTTTAAACAATAATTTCAGTGCTCACGGGATTGCAATTTTTGCATAAAAGTCCCACGTCATCTCCGCCAGCCATAAAAAATCCAATGCTGTGTAACCCCACAGCGAGGCCACACGTTAACAGCTGCACCACTGGCCCGCCCACAAGAGTCCTTCCTTATATATAATATATATATATATATATATATATATATATATATCTATATGTATGTATATATATATATATATATATATATATATATGTATATGTATGTATATATATATATATATATATATATATATATATACATATATATATGTTGTTTTTTTTTGTTGCTAGTCTAAATGGAAGTAACCCAGAACTATCCTAACGCTCTCAATTTGATTGCGTCCCTTGCTTAGGGTAGACTCCCCTTTATCTATAATTCAATCATCAATCATGGCTGGAAAAGATGTCTACGTCGCATGAAAACCATTCAGTAAGCCCAAGTCATGTAATAGCACAATCTCACTTTGCCCTTTTCTTAAACACATCTATGGTGGAGCGAATATAGAATGAGTGTACGGCTCTTCTTAAGACATTCATGGTCATTGGGGGAAAGTGCTTTATATATATTTATATATATATATATATATATATATATATATATATACATATATATATATCTCTCTCTCTCTCTCTCTCTCTCTCTCTCTCTCTCTCTNATATATATTTATATCTTCAAAAAACTATTAAAGCAATGAGGGAGAAAAAGAAGTAGACTTATCTGAGACTTAACAAATATTAGGGGATGGGAGTGGATAAAAAGAGGGGTGGGGGAGGGGAGGGGGGCGAACTCATGATGAGAACGAGTTGTATTAAGAAATATGCATTACATTTTTGGCCTTGGGTAACAACCAAGGGCAACAATCATTTCATGGCTTCGTTCTTATAAAATCCTCTTGTGTGAGGCAGCGGGGCGTTGCTTTGAATCTCCAGTTTTATTGACTAAAGGAGGCGTGAGGACTTTGGAATGAGACTTTTCGTCAGTGGGGTCGCACCCGTGAACATGTTTAGCACCACTGGTGTCATCGATGAAGCTAATAGACGAGATTTCGAATGCTTCAGTTGTGAAGTAATCTCTGAATTCTCAAAAATTCAGAAAATAATCAAAAGTACCATAAAAAGAGACATGGATGAATGTGACGATGGTTATAATATCCTGTAACTTTTCGCAAACTAGTTTTTACACATGTATAAATCATCATCGGAGTCAAGTATAGAATGATAATATATAAAAATAAATATTTGGTAAACATTCCTCAGATCACACCTATTAATTTTAATACATTTCCCTCTGAAATGATGAACCCACAATAAACAAACTATAGGACGCTTGTCACCAAATATTTGGGGATGTCCCGGCCGGCGAAGGACGTTCGTAACAGACATTAATTTAGAGGATTGAAGTGGATACCTGATTTCATTAAAAAGTCAACAAAGTTTAAATTAGTAATTCATAACTTAATTGACTTATCAAAAGCTGTATTTATCTTTCTCTGTTAAAAGAGGTAAAAACAACAAGGTATAATGATATTCCATTTATATATAAAGTTTTATTATTGCTGATATTGCTATGGATTTTTTCTATAATTCCGGAAAGAATTGAAAATTAAATATCGTAGTTGATGAGAGACTACATCCTCTTTGTTTCATTGAGACTAGACCATCTTTTTTTCATTGAGACTAGACCCTCTTTGTTTCATTGAGACTAGACCCTCTTTGTTTCATTGAGACTAGACCCTCTTTGTTTCATTGAGACTGAACCGTCTTTGTTTCATTGAGACTAGACCCTCTTTGTTTCATTGAGACTAGACCCTCTTTGTTTCATTGAGACTAGACCCTCTTTGTTTCATTGAGACTAAACCGTCTTTGTTTCATTGAGACTAGACCCTCTTTGTTTCATTGAGACTAGACCCTCTTTGTTTCATTGCACCTTGTACTTTTCTGCAAACGCAGACTAGACCCTCTTTGCTTCATTGAGACTAGACCTTCTTTGTTTCATTGAGACTAGACCTTCTTTGTTTCATTGAGACTAGACCCTCTTAGTTTCATTGAGATTAGACCCTCTTTGTTTCATTGAGACTAGACCCTCTTTGCTTCATTGAGACTAGACCCTCTTTGTTTCATTGCACCTTGTACTTTTCTGCAAAGGCAGACTAGACTCTCTTTGCTTCATTGAGACTAGACCCTCTTCGTTTCATTGCACCTTGTACTTTTCTGCAAAGACAGACTAGATCCTCTTTGCTTCATTGAGACTAGACCCTCTTCGTTTCATTGCACCTTGTACTTTTCTGCAAAGGCAGACTAGACTCTCTTTGCTTCATTGAGACTAGACCCTCTTTGCTTCATTGAGACTAGAATCTGTTTCTTCATTGAGACTATACCCTCTTTTCTTCATTGAGACTATACCCTCTTTTCTTCATTGAGACTAGACTCTCTTTCTCTTTGTTTCATTTAGACTAGACACTCTTTGCTTCATTTAGACTAGATCCTCTTTGTTTCATTGAGACTAGACCCTCATTGCTTCATTGATACTAGACCCTCTTTGTTTCATTGAGACTAGACACTTTTTGCTTCATTGAGACTAGAACCTGTTTCTTTATTGAGACTATACCCTCTTTTCTTCATGGAGACTAGACTCTCTTTCTCTTTGTTTCATTTAGACTAGACACTCTTTGCTTTATTTAGACTAGACCCTCTTTGTTTCATTGAGACTAGACCCTCTTTGTTTCATTAAGACAAGGCCCTTTTTGTTTCATTGACACTAGACCCTCTTTGTTTCATTGAGACTAGACCCTCTTTGTTTCATTGAGACTAAACCGTCTTTGTTTCATTGAGACAGACCCTCTTTGTTTCATTGAGACTAGACCCTCTTTTTTTCATTGAGACTAGACATCTTTGTTTCATTGAGACTAGACCCTCTTTGTTTCATTGAGACTAGACCATCTTTGTTTCATTGAGACTAGACCCTCTTTGTTTCATTGAGACTAGACCCTCTTTGTTTCATTGAGACTAGACCCTCTTTGTTTCATTGAGACTAAACCGTCTTTGTTTCATTGAGACTAGACCCTCTTTGTTTCATTGAGACTAGACCCTCTTTGTTTCATTGAGACTAGACCCTCTTTGTTTCATTGCACCTTGTACTTTTCTGCAAACGCAGACTAGACCCTCTTTGCTTCATTGAGACTAGACCTTCTTTGATTCATTGAGACTAGACCTTCTTTGTTTCATTGAGACTAGACCCTCTTTATTTCATTGAGACTAGACCATCTTTGCTTCATTGAGACTAGACCCTCTTTGTTTCATTGCACCTTGTACTTTTCTGCAAACGCAGACTAGACCGTCTTTGTTTCATTGAGACTAGCCCCTCTTTGTTTCATTGAGACTAGACCCTCTTTGTTTCATTAAGACTAGACCCTCTTTATTTCATTGAGACTAGACCTTCTTTGTTTCATTGAGACTAGACCTTCTTTGTTTCATTGAGACTAGGCCTTCTTTTTTTCATTGAGACTAGACCCTCTTTGTTTCATTGAGACTAGACCCTATTTGTTTCATTGCACCTTGTACTTTTCTGCAAACGCAGACTAGACCCTCTTTGCTTCTTTGAGACTAGACCCTCTTTGTTTCATTTAGACTAGACCCTCTTTGTTTCATTGAGACTAGATCATCTTTGTTTCATTGAGACTATACCCTCTTTGTTTCATTGAGACTAGACCCTCTTTGTTTCATTGAGACTAGACCCTCTTTGCTTCATTGAGACTAGACCCTCTTTGTTTCATTGCACCTTGTACTTTTCTGCAAAGGCAGACTAGACTATCTTTGCTTCATTGAGACTAGACCCTCTTCGTTTCATTGCATCTTGTACTTTTCTGCAAAGACAGACTAGACACTCTTTGCTTCATTGAGACTAGACCCTCTTTGTTTCATTGAGACTAGGATCTGTTTCTTCATTGAGACTATACCCTCTTTTCTTCATTGAGACTATACCCTCTTTTCTTCATTGAGACTAGACCCTCTTTGTTTCATTGAGACTAGACCCTCTTTGTTTCATTGAGACTAGACCCTCTTTGTTTCATTGAGACTAGACCCTCTTTGTTTCATTGAGACTAAACCCTCTTTGTTTCATTGATACTAAACCGTCTTTGTTTCATTGAGACTAGACCCTCTTTGTTTCATTTAGACTAGACCCTCTTTGTTTCATTGAGACTAGACCCTCTTTGTTTCATTGAGACTAAACCGTCTTTGTTTCATTGAGACTAGACCTTCTTTGTTTCATTGAGACTAGACCCTCTTTGTTTCATTGAGACTAAACCCTCTTTGTTTCATTGAGATGAGACTAAACCGTCTTTGTTTCATTGAGACTAGACCCTCTTTGTTTCATTGAGACTAAACCGTCTTTGTTTCATTGAGACTAAACCGTCTTTGTTTCATTGCACTTTGTACTTTTCTGCAAACGCATTAGAAGATTTCCATGTCAATTTTATGTCCTTGGATGTCAATATTATGTCATTGGAGCCGTTAAAATTACAAACAGAAAGCATACAGCGTCCCTTCAAGGCTTGGTTTGTACAGCACCAGGTTTTGTACACACAGAAAAACAGAGCTATTTAATGATGGCTTTACTCGAGAGCTTTCCGATATTTTGTTGATTGATCTTCATCGGGTGACATTCCACAGTAGAGAAATGGTCTTAAAGAGAAAAGTGCACTAGATAGGAGATATGTATAGATCTTAAAGAGAAATTGCACTGGATATGATGTATGTATGTGTCTTAAAAAGAAAAGTGCACTGGATAGGACACAAATATAGGTCTTAATTAGAAAGGTGCACTGGCTAATACATATGTATAGGTCTTAAAGAGAAAAATGCACTGAATAAGACATATGTTGTGTAGGTCTTAAAAAGGAAAGTGCACAGGATATGACATATGTATAGTATTAAAAAGAAAAGTGAACTGGATATGACACAAGTATAGGTCTTAAAGAGAAAAGTGCACTGGATATGACATATGCATAGGTCTTAAAAGAAAATTGCACTAGACATGACATATGTATAGGTCTTAAAGAGAAAAGTGCACTGGATATGATATGTATAGGTCTTAAAAAGAAAAGTGCACTGGATATGTGTTACGCACTGTTATCTGTATAGAGAAATTAATCTCCTATTTACATGTATGGCTCATTCCAAGACCTTGCATAACAAGACGATACCAATGATAAAACAATAGGAGAGAATACGACACTCAAAACAGGGCTAACTACAATTAATACGTTTTATTAAGTTACTAATACTAATAGTTACAAAATAAAAGAAATATAATTAAAATCATTAACTTACAAAAACTTACAGAGTAATGTGTTTCTTGTACCGATACAAAAGTGGATGAAAATTACAATGTGCCAAACAAAGGTACAACGATGAAAAGAATTCACACATATAAGTAAACACAGCTCTATCAAGAACAACAGTCTAAAACTAATGCTAGCCTGACGTCCAGTATTGTAAAAATCTTATCCTCCTAAAAATAAAGCTTGCTCTGCTTTTTGTAGTCTGTTCTACAGAAAATTCCAGGCGTATTAGGCATTGTATTAGTGACTCGAAAATTCTACTATTTACTACCATTTTCTACCACATTGGAGTCAAGAAAACAGGTGATAGATTGGTTTGTGGTAAACAAGATAAAAGGGAATAAGCCACGCCCAGTACTAACGCAGCGTCTGCTAGAGTTCACAGCACGGGGGAAATATGACGTAAACACGTCGGCTACATAACAATATGACACAAGTATATGTCTTAAAGAGAAAAGTGCACTGGTTATGAAAAATGTATTGGCGTTTTAGAGGAAATTGCACTGGATATTACAAAGGTGCTTTAGAGGAGAATGCACCGGATATGACCACATGCATTGGTCTTAAATAGAAAAATAAAAAATGTTCATTTATCCGTTTAAAAGATATCCATTGATACTAAATCATTCATGAAAACAATTGAAAATCCAAGATGGTTCAATGGATATTTGGTCTTATACTTCTAACTCTGGTTGAACAGAATTTTAAAGAACTAATACTTGCTACGTACCAAGTGTGAAGGTAGCGATCAAGGTTATAAGACTTATCGCTTTACCAACTGTGAAAATATGGTCAGTGAAATTTGGCATCTGTAGAAAGAACCGAACACAGCATCCATCTAAACAGATTGCTTCAATTAAAGTGCATTTTTAAACAAATACTCTTATTTTCATCTTAATGCAAAATGTTTTTTTGTTAAAGAAATCTTCCTTTTCCTTGTTAATATTAGTGTAGTTTTTGTTCACTCCAAACTAATTATACCTCTGGGGAGAAAAAAAACAAGGGGGTAGATGTTTGGGAGAAAGGGGAGGAAGGGATTCAATTTTTTAAATTGTAATTACTGAAATTACCTGGGTTAATCAACATACAACGGGGAAAAAAAATCAATTTGAAAAATAATAAATTAAAACACTAAATGCATATTTGTATCGTTTTAGAAATGGTCAAAAATGTATTTCAATTTTTTTTAAAATAAAATGAAACAAAAGTTTTGATTAAAGTTGTGCAAACATTGTGGTGAAAAAACAATTTAAATGATGGAATATTTTGTGCAGTGTTTATAACATACTGATTTTGTTATAAGAGACACCTGGGAAAATAATGTTTTATTTATTATATATATATATCAGTAAATGAATACGCTGATTTTAACGTTTGATTTCTTAATGCTCTTTATTTCTTTTTTTTTTTTCAGTTCTGATCTTAGCTTCTTATTCTGTATATATTTTCAGCGCTTTTGTAAATCAACTTATCATATTTACTTTCAGAGTAGTAAATCAACTTAATATGTGTAAATTCTGTGCTGGTGTAAATCAACTTATTCTGTGTACTTTCCGTGCTGATGTAAATCAATTTATCCTGTGTACTTTCCGTGCTGATGTAAATCAATTTATCCTGTGTACTTTCAGTGCTGATGTAAATCAACTTATCCTGTGTACTTTCAGTGCTGATGTAAATCAACTTATCCTGTGTACTTTCCGTGCTGATGTAAATCAATTTATCCTGTGTACTTTCAGTGCTGATGTAAATCAACTTATCCTGTGTACTTTCAGTGCTGATATAAATCAATTTATCCTGTGTACTTTCAGTGCTGATGTAAATAACTTATCCTGTGTACTTTCCGTGCTGATGTAAATCAACTTATCCTGTGTACTTTCAGTGCTGATGTAAATCAATTAATCATGTGTACTTTCAGTGCTGATGTAAATCAACTTATCCTGTGTACTTTCAGTGCTGATGTAAATCAACTTATCCTGTGTACTTTCAGTGCTGATGTAAATCAACTTATCCTGTGTACTTTCAGTGCTGATGTAAATCAATTTATCCTGTGTACTTTCCGTGCTGATGTAAATCAACTTATCCTGTGTACTTTCCGTGCTGTTGTAAATCAACTTATCCTGTGTACTTTCAGTGCTGATGTGTCCGCCTTTGTATCATCAATCTCCTCCAACCTGATCGTGACGAATGATGGGAATGTCACGTGGTTTTCCATGGTCATCTTCAAGAGCTCGTGCTCCATCAATGTCCGCTACTTCCCATTCGACGCCCAGAACTGTTCCATGCAATTTGCTTCATGGTCCTATGACGGATTTCAGGTAAACATAACCTTTGACACTTAACCTCAGCACAGTTTCCCACAGCTCTGCATTTCATTCCTTTATAACCAAATCACTTTTAACTTAATAATCTCATTTATGATGATTTTGTTCCCATTTTAATCATCACCCCCTTTCATAATGAAGCTAAAAGATTTCGATATTTGACTGTTAATGGTACCTTTATTCTTGGAGTGGTGGTCCGATTAGATTGAATGTACGGAACGATGTCGTGGGAAACTGACGAAGGATTTAAGGAATCCAACTATATTTTGTAAATTCTGTATTGATTTATCTTCCCTTCATCTCTATTCAACCCCTTCTCCCTCCTCTCCCTTTCTCTCCCCCGCATCTCCCCCTCTTCCACCTCTCACCCCTTTCTCTCCCTCATCTCGCCGCTTCTCCCCGCCTCTCCCTGCCTTGCCCTCCGCCTCTCACTTTCCTACAAGGCTCCCCTTCTCCATGACTCTCTTTGCCTCTCCTCGCCTCTCCACCCTGTCGCCTCACTCCATGTCACTCTTCGCCTCTCCCTGCATCTCCCCCCGCTCCCCGCCTCTCCCCCTCACTTCACGCCTCTCTTCGCATCTCCCTACCTCTCCCTGACTCTCCTTGCCTCTCCCTGTTCCCCACCTCTACCCGCCTCAAAACGTATTGCCTTTAAAGAAATTCCTTGTACCTGGGGTTTAAGTTAAGGGAGAATATTTTGTTTGTTCATCTATAGTCTTAACAGAAATCTATCTCTAAATCTTTAAAACTTTAAAATTTATGATAGAACACGCAATGAACTCACAACTCATTGCATTAAAAACGATCACAATTCCTCCGACGCCCTACTAAAAAGAATACTTTTTAAGAAGGGAGAGGGACTCTCACTATTAAACAGTATAAAAAATAATCGATATTTCTTAGTTCTCAAACCATGTATCTAAGATTAAAATCACCGAATGATGAAAACACATGTATCTTCTAATAACGTTCGATCATTGTGTTGAAATCGATGTCATTGTTTATTTAAACAGTAAAAAAAAAAAAAAATTGGCGATATCTCCATGTTGATTTGTCTGTTGAATAGTATGATTGATGACGTAGCAGGGTTTGATGACGTAGAATTTGTGTGTTTTTCGTGTGCGTACTGTTAAAAAAGAAAAAACAAGGGGAATCGGAATAAACACATTACATTTGGCTCTGTATGCGAGGTGCTGTCAGTTTCAGATGTGTACACGAGGTAAAAGTTCGACAACTTCTGTAAAATTGCATTGGCCGTGTCTTTTGATGAAGAGCCTGTCCCCCAAAGAGAGCTCGGTTCTTTTTAAAACCATGCAATTGTTTCCTTTAAACATGTATTATTCCTAACAAAATTTGAATATATTTACTCCTAACTTTGTTTGACTTAAGACCCGATTAGTACTTTATTTTCTTTATATGAAGGGGTGACTTTTTCGCCTAACTCCAGGGCGAGGGGGGGGTCGTGATTGGGGCGACAAAAAGTTTGACCCGAAGGGCGTGTTCAGGTGGAGGGGGCACCAACCCTAATTACGTCACTGATCAATAACTATTACAGAATCAATATTTTGTTTAGCTTCCCTTCTTCTTCATATCACATTGACTCATTTGCTGCACGTAAAATTTCAAAAATTTTCATGCATTAATTCACTTAGACTGGCTTTTAGTTGTTTTTTTTTAATTTCAATGCTAGCCATTGACAGATCAGAAAGATTTTTCTTCACTGTCCAAATGTTAAGGCACCAAAAAATACGCAGATAGAAATATTTGTGAACCCTTGCTAAGGATTAAAATTTCTTTTCTTTTTGCTATATTTCATTTGTCTAAGAGCTGCTCTTTCAATGCCTCGACTAAACTCGGAATATTAAACAATACATTCTCCCTGAATCTATCACCACCGATCCTCTTCAATGTAGTACTTTATTCATTTACAGCCAGACTAATATTTTACACAACACAAGTTTTTCTTGGACAAGACAACTTGCCTCTATTTTTTTCAAGTCACCATACAGTTGTGTTAGCATGACTAACTGTTACAGATAAATTCTTATATCGCGTGTAATGAACATTTTATTATGTTATAGATTAATTCCTCACTCTGAATTTTGTTCAATTAGTACTTAATGCTTCAACGTTATTTTTTTTTTTTCAAATTTAATTCAGTCTTAATAAGTTAAATCCGTGTTCAGTAGGTTTTCTAACTCAAGCTCAACTGCATGTGACGCAATAATTGCTGCTTCATTCTGCTAACTAATATTACAGTGACATTGGCATACCTTTATATTATTTTATAGTCTTGAGAATCAATCGGTTATGATAAGACTATCAAACTAGTAGCCAGTGTAATTCAATTAGTCAAATGTGTTTAAAATTGTGAGGCAATATTAGGTTTTTCTAAGGTCTGGCTAATAAGCCTGAAGAGCTGGGAGAAAAAAAAAGACTCCTGGATAAAGAATTGGTTAGTCAAGAAGTTATTTAAAATCTGGCTACCGTGAACCACTTGAAACGACCCTGACATTGAAAGAGGATTTCAGAGCATTATACATCGGCAGAGTTATCCGATTCAATGGTAGAAGCAATAGGTCACATGGATATAAATATTTGGACGTGTATATAAATTAAGATAAATACAATCACATCTATAACAATGTAATTAACCATTCGGACATATTGTCCATATCATGGATACATTTATGAATTGGATATGAAAATGTCAATGACACTTTAATTAGTTGACCCATTGGACGTACTGTCTACACCATGGATACTTTTGTTAATGGGTTATGAAGATGTCAATGAAGCTGTAATTAGCTAACCAATTTTACATACTGACCATACCATAAATGCATTTATGAATTGGATATGAAGATGTCAATGACACTAGTTTATTCATTCGACATACTGTCTATACCAAGGATACATTTATGATTAGTTTGTGAAGATGTCAATAAAACTGTAACTACACCAAGCCTATGAAGCATCCGTGAGTCCCAATTTATAAATCCTCAGGTCAACCTGCTGATGAACACCGAGAAAGGGGACACAAGCAACTACGTCCCCAACAGCGAGTGGGAGTTGATTCGCTTCATGGTGGACAGGAACGTGCGCTACTTCTCATGTTGTGAGGAGCCATACCCAGAGATACATTTCTATATTGTTATAAGGGTAAGTCAGACATCGTCTTTTCTATTTTACAAGGGTGAGTCAGATATCATCTCTTACACTTTACATGAGTAGTTCAAAGTTAGACATCATACATGCATGGGTAAGTTATACACACATTTCTATGTTGCATGCGGTTAAGTCACTAATGAAGTATTAAATTTTCTTTGAGAAAGATTTCTTAAGCCAAGTCCAACAACAATTTAAATTATTAATGGTTAAGTTAATAAGACATTTTTGAAACAATAAAGAATTGTATTTTTTTCCTCAGTTTGTTTAATTTCCCCATGTAGAATAATGAAGCTACGTATGAAAGGGGGAGAAGACCTATTGCACGGTTCACCTCGCAGTTTTATCACGTGTTCAACACTGGCAGACAATCTGGAGAAGCTAAAAATGTTTCGGTACAACTAATATCAGTTACAGAACTCGGGCTAACATCTCCTCTCCATTTTTTTTTTAAAAACAATAATAATCTACACTATGTTCAACATAGGGTCTTTTTCTGTTCAACAGCGGCGGCCCTTGTTTTATATTTTCAACATGATACTTCCGTGCATCCTCATCACCCTGGTGGCCCTGCTAGGGTTCTACATCCCGTCCGACAGTGGTGAGAAGGTGACCATGGGAATCACCACTCTGCTGTCGATGACCGTTTTCATGATGCTGGTCACTGAGAACATGCCACCAACGTCAGATGTGCTGCCTCTCATAGGTCAGTCACTGCTAGCTGTTTAGGACTCGCTTCATTGCTCGACATCTGACATTGCACGTCTCACTTCATTACTTGACGTGTGCCTTTTTATGTATCACTTCATTACGTGACATTTGAAATTGTATATTTTACTTCATAACTTGACATCTGAAATATTTTAAGTCTCCTCTTTACTTGACATCAAACTTCAGTCGTAGGCATATGACATTTTAAGACTCACTACATTGCTCGACGTCTCCCCATGTTACATTAATTAACATAGGACTTCATTACTGGGCATATCTGACATATGTCTAGATTCTTGCGTCTAGATCTTTGTATCTAGATCTTAGAACAGAAAGGCTTCTTAGAAATAGATTTATTTGGCTTTGCTGGAACATAATTTCCAGCGCCAGATTTTTAGTTTTTGTAATTTGAACAACATATTATTTTATCACCGGTGTTTGCTGCAATTGGGGGTAAGAAGGCTATTCTGAACGGGAGTCATAAAATTCAACAAAATATACAGTCGAGGTAGTATCTTGGTAGCAGTACTTATCAGAATAATGTAAAACAAATTTAATTATCAGTTCTTTAGGGAGTGAGACATTTCTTTTTAGTATTTTTTTTATTTTTTATTATGTAACGCTTTTTGAAACACATATTATGTCTTCAATTTATTTTACAATTTTAGGTTTAAGATATTCAAAGTATTTATTTTTCCAAGTATATGTAACTGTATTCATGATGTTACCCTATCATTTACTTCCTTCAACATTCAAGACATTACTGTATCATGTACTTCCTACAACACTCATGACATTACTGTATCATGTACTTCCTACAACACTCATGACATTACTGTATCATGTAATTCCTACAAAACTCATGACATTACTGTATCATGTACTTCCTACAACATTCAAGACGCAATCGTTCCTCAGGTATCTATTACGGGATGACTATATTCATTGTCTCATTCGCCACGGCCATGACAGTCTTCACGCTAAACATCCACCACAAAGGCACAAGTGGAAAGCCAGTTCCTAACATCATAAAAAGAATCTGCTTTGACCTCCTAGCCAAGATGTTCTGCATGAAAGTGGACACTTGGGAGGACCCCCCGCCCGACCTGGTTAGAATTCCAACGACCATTTAGAGCTGCTTCCTTGATATAAACATGTATACATTTCCCGAAAAATGGTAACAGCACGTCTGACAAATGGACAACGTGATTTAAATAGAACGTTTCAGAAACTAGCACTTAGACATTTACAAACAAAACTCAGGGGGAAAAAACGTAAATGACTCGAAGTGCTCTAAATGGTCATTTTTTTGTTCTTTTGTTTTTTTCTTTGTTTTTTTTTTGTTTGCAAACTGTGGAATGATTTCCATATTTGAATGTCTCAATGTCCTAGCTCAAGGTAACGACAGTATGAGTTTTAAGGTAAAAAGATTACGCGGTTGACGCACTGATCTGTGTTCCAGAGATGTTTGGCATTGATTGAAGTGTGATGCTTGCTGGCTGTCACAGTCAACTCTATGTACCTATGTTATTAAATGTTTCATAATTTTTCTGTTTAAAAAAAATGCCGTTTCAGTTTTGCATCAAAGTGCATGGATTTTGCCATACAAAGATATCTCAAGGCATTGATGTGTAGATTATATATTTGATTTCTTAAATTTCTCTTTTTCAACTGATTTTCCAGAGAGCGATGCATGGCGCAAAGGCCTATTTGCTTATAATTTCTTAAGGCAGATATATATGTTTTTTATAGACAATATTATAGAGTTATACAATTGACATAACATCCAAAGTTATTATGGCACACAATAAGAATCTAATACCCACTATCTTAACATAAAAGCATACGCGAAACACGTTTACGTGAAGTATTCCTTCAATCCTTTAGGACGTAACATCAGATAGTTTCTAACATTTGCCATCAAACGTACTACTCTCGATCAAATCGTTAAAAAAATCAAACTATGCCTATAATTAATTCTAAAAGCCATCATGTATTAACACATGCTAAAAGTCTTTATTGGCAAACATTTTCCTAAGCTGTATTTAAAAATATCTCGCTTTTTTGCCTTTTATTTCATCGTCCAAATACATTTATATGTGTTTTTTATTTATCAACATTAGAGATGCCATTCACGTGTAAGATAATTAATTTAATTTTAACGTAAACGAGTTGAGGTTAAAGTTATGTGATACCACATTCGCTGAAATGGAACATGTATTTTACTGTTATTGATGTGCGACTATTTCAGTCTTGAACTCTAGACAAGCTGCACTTACCGAATTGTAGTTCAGTTAAAAGTTTAAATGTATTCATAGGGTTTTAATTAATAATAAGTTGAACTTTTCCTTTAATTCTCTTCTTTGGTTCCAGCGAAGAAAACGTAAACTTCACAAGGTCGGTCAACCACACGAATTGCAATTACGTGACATTTGGATTATATCCCAATATCCATTTATCAGGATTTTTTCCCCAATCAAAACCGAACCTACGGACACTTCCTCTCCCATCTTGAGGTCATCGAAACTCAAAAATAAAGCATGAGCATGAACACAGATCACAACTCAATTAGAGATAAAATCTTGATCAGCTTTGGGATAATTATTATGATTCTAAAAAAAATGATTTTTGTCTTGTTTCTTTATTCCCTTGTTTTCTGGATTCATCCAGTTTGCTCTTCGCCCCACCACTGACGTGGAACAAGGACGAACTGTTTTCCTGTGTTTATAAGTTCTCATTTTGTTATAATTTCCTTTCAGTTCACGCCTGATTGCAATGGTGTGCCCGGCGGATCGTCCAATTATATCCGTTACAAAGTCGCAAATCAAGAAGACACTGATCAACTCAATTTGGTATGTCCCTCGCCGGTCCCTCGTCACTGATAGCATAGGCCCCTTGTCACTTGCAGCCTCTACCCTGAAAGGAAAAGGGGGGAAGCTAAATGACAACACTAGCAATACGTACAAAGATATAAACACACCAGTGGTGTAGCTAGGGATTTGGGGGCCGGGGGGGGGGGGGTTTTTGGCCTCTTTTTGGGTCCCTGCATTTTGATTCGACATTATCTAATGTAAGAAAAAAATTCAGACACGCCTTTAGGGGCCCAACTCAAGTAGGGGCCCGGAGGGACTTTCGACTTTGTACCCCCTCCTCCCTTTCCCCTAGCTACACCACTGAAACACACTATGTATTTTAACTTGGTGCCTAGATTTTCAGTTTATTATAGGATCAATTTTGTTGGATGAGATTATGTTAAAAAGTTCCCGAAACCCCATAATTATAAACTCATGCACCATATGAATGTTTAGCAGACGTCATAATTTATAATTCTATGAACGTAATCAGCTTTACTGAATCTAAATCCTGGGTACTAGTTTTTTCCTGTTTCGCAATGGCTTAACTTTTTTTTTTTTTTTTTTTTTACGAGGCATATTTTAACTACCTTTTATATATAATTAATGTCCTTTATAATTAAAAGTTTTTTTCTCCTGGGTATTTGTTTTTTCCTTTTTCGCAATGGCTTAACTTTTTTTTTTTTTTTTTTACGAGGCATATTTTAACTACCTTTGATATATAATTAATGTCCTTTATAATTAAAAGTTCTTTTCTCACAAATAAAATATTTATAATCCCAGAATCGTCTAGCTTTAAGGCTCGTATGCAATCCTTCACAAATCCGCGTGGTGAACATTGCACCTTTTCATTAAAAATGCATCAAAGCTAATCTAATGTGTATCTTATGTGCGCGCGCACGCACTTCCGCTATGGATTTTACATCCTATTACTCCGGGTGAACCTCGGCCTCCTGGTCACCGAATAACTAACACACACTGCAACATGTCTGCATTAACATGGACAGCTCAATTAACCAGCTCATAATAATAATCACAACTACATCAGTTAATTACAAACTGGACTTCATTTTTCTTTGAATAACTTAAAGCATTCGACACCCAAAAATTAAACCAGGTGAGTTCCGAGCCGCGCCCCCTAGAGACGGCAGGTGGAGTAGTGAGTACGACATCGACCATGACATGCTGGCATGCGGTTATTCAAATCGGCTGATTTATATTTTTTTTATTTTTAAAGAAGAAAAAAGATGAAAACATCTCCTTTATGCTATTTGGTGTTTATGGCATATAATAGCGCTCTGTGCATTTAGACTTCAGTTTGCATGTGTATCTGTTCATGCTTAATAACTGCATCAAAAGGAGAGAGCAGATAGAAGGAAAGTAAGACAAACACATCTTTGGAATAAGACGTGTCAAAGTTGTTTTGAAAAAAAAAATATATACAAATTTTCCAAATAATGTCTAAGCCAAACTTCTAATCACCAGTAGATTTCTTTTAGAAATATGTTAATTAATTTTACTTAAATAAAAAATAACTCAACAATTCATGACCCCTCCAAATCATTTTAACTTCCCTGACTCATTTGTTAAAAAATATAATTAAAATTTAATAAATGCAGTAGAAGTAGAAAGTAAGTTTAAAAAATGGAAGATTCCTTTTTTTTATTTTTATACGCGACATTTGCGCTCATGGAATAATCATTTTCAAATCACCTACCCTCTTCCCATCTTATAACTGTTTCATACGTCATCGTTGCTTTTTTTTCAGGAATTGAAGCCAGTTAATGACATGACGCATGTCAGCCGAGTTGACATCCCGACGTTGGACGGTGACACCTACCAGGGCAACGGGGCGATACCCAGGGCGTTCCCCGGGTTCCGGAGGTCAAACGGCACAACGTCCTCCACGGACCAGGTGGGCACGGAATGCCCCCCGTTCGAGGCGTACTTCTCCAGGGTCCTCCAGCGGGTGTATCAGACGTTAGAACGCAACGACATCCGCCTGGCCGAGCACGACCAGAAGGAGGGCATGAAACTGGAATGGCAGCAGGTGGCCCAAATCACGGATCGTCTGCTGCTCATCTGCTTCGTGTGTGTAACGTTGACCATCACAGGCGTCGTGCTGCTGGCCTCCCCGGCGTCTGTCAATGTATGAAGGAGGTCAAACTTGCTGGACACTGACGTTCAAGGAACGGAGCGACCTCGAACAATATTTATTTTGTATATGCACAACTGAAAATACATCGTTTTTTGTGTCTTTTTTTTTACGCGTGGCTTTAAAAGACACAACAATTTTGAGGAGCAAAAAAACTATCCCTGTGGTGTAGAAGCACAGGAGCAATCGTGTATAATTGTTGTGCAGTGATAGTTTTAGATAGTCTAGTGAAGGAGCTGAAGAAGTTTGAACCTTTCTTACACATGAGATTACAAATGGAATTGGTGACATGAAAAAGGTTTGGCGTTTTCTTACATTTTGTTGACATAGGATTGTATTCAATGAGCTGGCTAGAGGCGGATACTGGACTATCAGGCATGGTGAACTTAAGGTGTAAAGTAGACTTGTGGATTGTAATGTATCAAGGCCATAAAGAATCACAGGTTTGTGTCGAGTAACTGGATACCAATGGTTATTTGGAAGTGGAAACTTGTAGGGTCGTGAAAAGAATTTCTAAGAACTATCCCGGAAACAAATTTCAGTGAAATTTCAATGAAACAGGAACATTCTGTGAAATATAAATGAAAAAGGAACTATCTGTGAAATTTAAAAGAAACGGAAACTATCTGTGAAATATCAATGAAACGGGAACTTTCTGTGAAATTTCAATTAAACGGGAACTCTCTGTGAAATTTCATTGAAACTGGAACTGTCTGAAATATCAATGAAACGGGAACTATCTGTGAAATTTCAATGAAACGGGAACTATCTGTGAAATATCAATGAAACGGGAACTATCTGTGAAAGTTCAATGAAACGGGAACAATCTGTGAAAGTTCAATGAAACGGGAACTATCTATGAAAGTTCAATGAAACGGGAACTATCTGTGAAAGTTCAATGAAACGGGAACTATCTGTGAAAGTTCAATGAAACGGGAACTATCTGTGAAAGTTCAATGAAACGGGAACTATCTGTGAAATTTCAATGAAACGGGAACTATCTGTGAAATATCAATGAAACGGGAACTATCTGTGAAAGTTCAATGAAACGGGAACTATCTGTGAAAGTTCAATGAAACGGGAACTATCTGTGAAAGTTCAATGAAACGGGAACTATCTGTGAACGTTTCGAAGTGCAATTCTTGAGCAAATTTGATTTTATTTCGATTGCGGTTCTAACAAAATATAACGTCTGATGTCGCCTAGATGACGTGTGTTTTTACATGGATGGCTGCAATAATATTGAGGCGTGTTGTTAAAGAGTCAATGACCTGGACAAGTTTTTATGTCGTCAGATTTCGCTATGACCAGCAAAGCATGTCATCGCTCAGAGTTGACCTGGACTCCTTTTAAATTTACGAATTAAATAAATCTCTCCCCCCCCTCCCCCCCCCAACACACAAACACTTCTTATTTAGTCATCTGTTAGCCAGTCTGAATGAACAGGAGGCAAAGCTGAATCGAGGTGTGGTCTAAAAAAAAAAAAGGTTGCTTTTACCAGCGTGTTTGATTTGAAGATGGATACACACTGTTACTGTCTCTGCTGACTATCGAATCTCTACAAAGCAATTTTGAAACAGACCATTCTATTGTTCCATCCTGAATTCATTTTCGTCATTCTCTGTTAGGATGAATATTCTCATTGCCCTAATTCCCGTGAACATTCGGTCAAGCGTTGGACCAGTCTTCGTATTTTAGTGCATTTTAGTCTTAATCTTCCTGTAATTTTATCTTTTTTTAAATTTTATTTGGAACTGGAGAATGTCTAAGCTGTATGTGCTCATAATAATATCAAAGCATCGAAATTCACATACGTGAACAAAGCATTTTATCTTTCGCATGTTATGTTTTAGAAAGAATTTATTGTTTTTTATAATTTCATACAATAATTGTAAAACTGTTTGCTTTAATATAAATGATGGAATTCAATTTATTTCTCGCTCATAAGCATAAGCTAGCTCACATAAATTCTTTAAAGACGCTTGATTTCATTCTAACACATATATATCGCAATATCAGAAATATTTTGCTACTTTCAGATAGTTTCCAGTAGCACATTTATTAACAATGGAAGAGTTTGCGCTACTTAAACACACATATCTTTTTGAACTCACATTGTTAGTCTTTTTTTTTAAATGCATATTTTCTTCATGTTTGAATATTTCTAGATAACATACGATAAAACAATCGAATTTATACTTGTTTTCCAACGACAATTTTGGAATCATTCAATACATACAATTTTAATCGCCTACTGAAAATAAACTAATGATATCTGTAGCCATGGCACTGATTGATAAAGAAACAAAATTCTTTGAATTATTATATAATTTTTTAAATATCTTTTTTTTTTTTTTAGTTTTTTGTGTTTGTTATTTTTTAAATTTAATTTTTTATTTTGCGCCTTCGAAATTGAACTTTAAATGTTTAAATTTTTTTTGATTTAATT